GCTCTAGAACCTGCAGATCTGGTTCCATGTGACTCCCCAGTCCCGTTCTATGAGGCAGATTGAGAGCGGAATCGACGACGCGTGGCAGTGTGAGCGTGCCAGTCAATTAAGCGCCGAGGTTCCCAGCACCGCTGTCATCGGGCACTCGGTGTCACCTTCTGTGATGTTACTTAAAAACCCGTTTACCCGTTTCAGGATGTTTTTCACCGTGATAAACGTGACCGTTGCCGTGCGCCGCGCTCCGTGGCGGAGAGGGGCGTTGGGTCGCGATCGAAGTGTGCAAACGAGCGGGGCGTGGCGCGTCCTGCTGGCCGGATGCGGAGCAGATGTGGAGCTGAATGACAGCGTCCCCAGTGTGTGGCTCGTGGGTGTTTACGTGGGTGTTGGGGGGGGGGGGAGTTCTCTGTTCCATGTGCGTGTCAGTGTTTACACGGAAACACTGGTTCTGTTAAAAAAAAAAAAAGAAAAAAAAAGACGTCTGATCTGTCAAAGGTTTAAAACTGGAACTGAATGACAATGAAGGATTGCATTTCTGTCATATGTCAGTAGAACAATCTGGAACACTCCCCCGGGGTCACTCAATACTGCCCTTTTAATGTAATCTAAGCATTTATCTTGATTATGACAATAAAGCTGCCGTTGGCTTATTTAATCTTCTGGTCGCCAGTTTTCCATAAATGGCGTATGCATATTCGACAAGCCACGACGATTTAGCTGTGCGTTGTTATGGAAATTTTTACATCCTGACGTAAGGAAGGTGGCTGTGTGTTTTCGAGAGGATAGTTTACCTTTGGGCACGTGGAACTTAAAAAAAAAAAAACGAGTGGGTTGGAAGTGGGTGCGGAGATAATGTTTAGACTGTGCCATTAGCAGTCTTTCTGTTCCTCTGTTTATTTTACCTATGCTCCCCTGAATTCCGAGGAACACGTTGTATAAATATTCCCGGCTGGGATGGCAGCCGGTGTCTGTTATAGTGGCGGTTGTTTGCCGAGCTGAGAGCAGAGTTCTTCCAGTGAGTTTTTGGCCGTGCCGATCCGAGTCCACTGGGCCTCATCCCCCAGCCCGCTCCGAGCTCTCTCTCATCCATCTGTACGCCTCTCACACGGCGACTCCCTTCCTAAATTGACACCCCTCTTTTTCCCTGGAAGGTGAGCCGCACACACACTCGTTGGGACACCCGTGGTCAGGTGACCCCTCCCCCGCTTCGCCGCGCGGTGGTCCGCGGCGTTTATAGGCTGCCCGGCAGCGGCGTCGGGGCACAGCCACGCATTCCATCACACTTTTAAGATCTCCGCGTGTCTCCCCGTCTTTTCCAGCTTCCCCTCCGAGCTTGGCTGACCCCTGGCACGGACCTGCTCTCCCCGTGTTTATCCGCGACCGCGAGCCAGACTGATGTGCTGAAGGCGGTGAGAGCCAAACTGCTGCTCCGCTGTTTGCAGTACAGCGCTGGAACTCTGGGGGGGGGGGCTGCCTTTCTCACCCCCACACTCTCCGTGGAAAAGCGCCGACACGCCGTTTCAAACGGCTCCGGCATCTGATTCAGCCCATGTGTTGCGTTTTCTGATCCGGCCTTCGAGCCCCTTTGAATTTTGCAGGGGAAATTCTTGAACACTGTCACCCACTTCAGGCGGGTTCTCAGTCTTGTGCCTGATGCTTCCAGGGATTGGGTCCAGTCTCCCCCCACCCCGTAAGGCGCTGACTTGGATGGATGGATGGGTTTAACATTTTCTGACTAACAATTGCCTTAAAAGGGATGGTATAGCTACATTAGTAGTGTCCTTCATATCGCATATTTTGAACCGTGCACCAAAAAATGTACATTGTAATAAGAATAGCAGCTCAGCCCTCAGGCTTGGTTTGTCTGTGGTGTGTAAAACAGGCTGTAAAATGCAGCCAGCAATGCCTTTGGCTCAAGCCGGCTGCGCTACGCCGTGCACCCGGCTGCATGTGCAGCAGTGCATGCAGGTGATGATGTCATGCCGGAGGGGGGAAAAAAAATAAAAAACAGAAGACCGATTGGCTCCCTCCATGTGGGCTGTGGCCAATCTGCCGTGGAGTGCTTTCTGTGGGCGTGGCCACCCAGGAGGGCGTTATTTTTAAAGTGTGCTTCAAAGTCCGAACGGCGACCTTAATTTGGCGCCATGTTGCAATGAAGTTCTGAAGCGTCCTTCCGTACGGACGCGGCTCATCTACCCCGCGAGGCCCTGGAATCGGCTTGCGCATCTGCGCTTGCGTTCCAGTGTTTTCTGACGCGTCCGGGGTGACCTATTTACTGTACTGTACTATTTACTCTACTGTACTGGGAGGAGTTATCATCTCATTGGTACTCGGCGCACTCTGTGACAATCTGATTTACCTGGGCGGCCAATAGTGCCTCCTACTGGACCGGCAAGGTGAGACCGGCTTGCAAGAGACCTGGAGCAGCAGGCAGATATATAACGTGCGTCTGACGGATGCGGGAGTGTTAGATAAGTGGCCCCGTTCTGGGCCTGAACTACGGTAACCCTCCGCGCGCTTGAGGTGTCTTTGCGATCCGGCAGCTTGCATAACAAAGTCTCCCGACTGAATCTTAATCGGCTTCTGCTGCCGATTAAAATCGGCTCGTACAAGTGAGTGAAACTGTATCACTAATATCTTAAACATGCCAAATGACCCTCGCTGGCTTTTTGTTCAGTTTTTTGGTTTCTATCAGTATTTTGCATGGCCTCCTTTGCCGTCTAGACTAACGGCACGTCCTAACCAGAAGTCACAAACTCAGAACATTTTGGATCTGTTTTATTCTGGATGTTTTAAAAAGGTCCTGTTGTTTTTTTTGCAAATTTGTGGGAGGCAGATTCAGTACAATATAAGCTAGTGGCAGATGTTTATACTGTGAATGTGCGTGTTGATGCCGCGCCGTTCTTCTGAAACGGAACAGATTTCTGTGAATGGAGCGGTCCCTCTCCATTCTGTGGCGTCCTCAGTGTTCCGTCTCCTGCGGGCAGACGGATCTTGTCACGAAAGACCTTGCTGCCGATTGGCCCAGAAGGCGACCAGACGCCTGATTATGCCACGGGCAACGCCATGCGGTCTTCGGGTAACGCCGTCGTGAACTTCCTGATGAGACTGTAGCAGATGTAGGAAACTCTTAACGGGTGCATGTGGTTCTGTTCTGTAAGTAAGGCTCTGACGAGTTGTTATCAGAGCTGCTTGGAGGACATGAAAATAATGTATATTATGGTATATTTGGGTTTTCTCTGTGTTGACGCCATCACCTTTTCGTGGTCTTCACACCAAAGACACCACTTTTCGGAGAGGCCGTCCCATAGGTCACTTTGGTGTTTAAGGGTCCGCTGAAAAGCCGGCAATGCGCACTGATGTCACCGGGCACGTTTTCCTGTTTGCCGTCGGAGCTGTCCCTGCGGCACACGGAGGTGTGCGGCGCTCGGCTTGCCGGCGGGGAGGTGACAGCATCTCCCAGGTAGCGGCTCCCGTGTGCGCTGCTGTCAGTGGCCGCCAGTTGCAGCCTCGGTCGGCCGTCTCTGCGGCATCTGTTTTGCGGGGAAGCGGGTGACAGGGGACCAGGGTCCGTGGGGAGAAACTCCGCTTCACTCTTCTCCTCTGTGGATTTTTTATTCTTTTTTTTTTCCCAATAGAGAAGTTGCCTTCCTGAAACTTTTCCCGTGATTCTATTGTGCGTAGTCCTTATCGCCGCCTAATTCCTCACCGCCGCGATAAAGCGCAATAAGGCGATGTCAGGCTTTTAAAAAGAGGACATTTCTGCAGTGACCCGAGAGGCGCACAGGGTCATCAAATGACTAAAACCTCTGTAATTATGCACGGTTTAATTTAGTGCCGTGGATATTTCGGAAGGGTCAAACTTTTAAAGGGTACACTTTTGTCTGCTTGCAGAAAGTATGTCAGGTTTCAAAGGGGGGAGGGATTTAGACTTACCTTTTGCTGAGTCAGCGAAACTATTTGGAGTGCCGGGCCCATTTCATACTGTTTATGTTTCAATTGGAGGTCAAGCCACGCAAAAGATATTCGTCCATCTCTCTCTCCGCTCGTTCCCCATTTATAGGCGCTAAGGGGCGAAGGTTTTCTGTTTATTATTGATGCAGAAGCGCGGTGACACGATGGCGCTGCCCCGCCGAGGTCACGGAGACCTCAGAAGTCCCCGCCGTCGTCTGCAGGTTGCCCTCATCTATAATTCAGAAGGTTACGGGCGCCGAGCTGAAGCGAGGAGGAGACCTTCCTCTGAGGGACACTCTGCTCACACGTACGCTTTGGCAGGGAGGGAGCGCATCCACGGCAGTATGTTCCACACCCATGATCGGTGTCGGCGTTCCGAGGGCCCACGCCCACAGCCTTAATCACCAGGGAAACGCTGAATGATATATAAACAAGAAATGGTGTAATATGTTGACCGGGAATAAAGAGGCAATAGACTCAGACCTCAAAGAAGTCAATCTTATCTTCAAAAGCAGCTCCTCCAGGCAGTGTGATGACTCAGTGATTTGATTCCTCTAAAAAACACATTATTTGTAAACAAAACCTGGTACTATGTGCGATGAATGAACTCATTCCTGAACTAGGTAAATCAGCTTAATTATAAACGTGGGGAGACCGTGCGCACGGCTAATGACGTTGACTTTCAGGGTGACGATGGTGGAGGCCCTGATTCCATTCCCGACATTTTAGCCGTTTGTTTCTTTTTTTTTTTGCTCTTCACAGTTTACATCTCCTGTGCGACAGGTCGCTCTAGTCCTTCTGCTAATGTCTGAGAACATATTACTGTAGATCCGGGGCCGTCGCGGTGCTCAAAGTGGGTGTGAAATGGTGCCTTTTAATTGGCAGACAGTTTCGTGGTTAGCCAGATTGTGCCACCGCCTCACACAGTAAAACTGTCAGTGTTTTATCACCTAGAGGAGTCAGGCTCCTGCGTGGTCGGCCTGGTGGTGGGGATGTCTGAGGGCTTTGTTGCTAAACGGATGCTTTTGTGCCCTGCGCTCTCGTTCCAGCTCATCGTTAAGACACTCATCCTTGGGCTCCTCTACGGCCAAAGTGTGCTTGGTGTGCGGAGACGAGGCCTCAGGATGTCACTACGGTGTCGTCACGTGCGGCAGCTGCAAGGTCTTCTTCAAGAGAGCCGTGGAAGGTAGGACATACCCGTTCTGCTCGTAGTCTCCGTCAGCCTGGCCTCTCCCAGGCCGCTGTCCCCTCCTACTAACCAGGGTGTGCCGTGCTCTTTAACCGACCGGCGAGCTCAGCTGGTTTTAAAAGGACCCATATGTCTGTTTCTCTCAAGGGCAAAGAGATGGCTCAATCTTTATCCCGTCAAGTAGTCAGATCATTTCATTATGTCATTAGAGCTCTGGGTGGAATGAGAACTTTCCGGTTTCCTGAGCTGCCCCCGGGTGTCCTTATTGACCACCACAGGCTCCTCAGGGCTGTTTTTACACAGTGAGATTGGCCATATGCACTAGCCCCGCCCCCTGGTGTCACATGACCTGTGATTGGAATCGGGGCATGGATCGGAGAAGCATGCAGCTGAGGCATGCGTGGCAGGAGGGGAAACGGGAGCGTCGTTGGAGGAAACTATGGTTTTAAATGTTGTTCCTGAATCAATTCGTATTCATTATGGAAAAAATGTAAGGTTTGAGTCCTGGAGTGCAGTCTCTGGGGACTGGTGTGTGGTAGGTCCAGCCTGTCTTTAAAAACAGAATCCTAAAACCTCAAGCATGGCGCTCAGCTCACGGCTGGGCTCCCAACCGTGAAGCTGCTACCAAGCACCGGGGAGCTGAGAACAGCTGGAGGCGTGGAAAAAGCAGGAGAGCAGCATGCGGTGGTCGGCTCCAAACCCGCCTTTCCGTCACCTTCCGAAAGTGCAGCTGTGCCGTTTGGAGAAACGCGAGCAGGTTTTGAGGGAACCTTCTCCAAGGTTCCTCAAGCTGCCTGTATTCCACACCGCAGCTGCCAAAATTCTTCTATATGCATTTATTCTTTCAGCCATCCATGCTTTTTTTTTTTTTTTTTTTTTTTTTTTAAATGCGTGATTAAAATGTTGGAAGAGAAACAAGTGGTCAGATGATTAAGTGCTTCATCCATTTTTTTTCCCATGCTTGGCCAAACGTATATAATGACCGTCTGTGTCCTTGCGCCGAATAAACCCGAGATTTCATAATCTGTTTTTCATTTCTGAGTGTTACTTGCAGCCTCTCGACTAATTAATTTAGCAAAGTGTCTGAATTCGCGAAGGCATTTAAGACGGCGTAAACATGCGCGCAGACCAAAAAGCCTCCGCAATCTGGCTTCTAACAGCCAACCAGGGCGCTGTGATTTATGTCAGCGCTGGGTCATGTATTTGCTTCATTACTGCTTTGGGAGAAACTATTGCGTCGTACGTTGACGCTAATTACACCTGCCGTGCTCCTTTTGTGATTTTCGTCGGAACGCAGAGCCCTCAGCATACGTGACACAATCCCACGCCGAGTCTGTGTGGGGCGATTCATCCAGGCCGGACGGTTCTGTGCAGATGGGGCGAGGGTTACTTTCTGTGTGACGCTGCTTGTTCATAAATATCGTCACTCCGCCGTCACTGCGCGTCTGTGCTCCTGTAGCATAAACACCTGCTAATATACTAATCAGCCAAGGTTCCCCCAGTCGCTGTAACTTTAGGAAGATCCTACAAATTCATGTTAACTAGCAAGCTTTCCATGTACCTTTGTAGTTAAGTTTCTTTAACGGCGGCAAAGTCATCTGTAGCTAAATGGATAAGGAGGCCAGAGGATTGTATTGATTTATTGAATTTGGTCAGTGCATATATCTTTATTTGATTTAATTTCTTCTCCTGGTATTGTTCTTGCCTGTCATGGTTTTTTTTTACCATGAAATATGCATCAAGCCGTCATAAAGCCATTCGTCTCTGTCCCGTGGCCCGGGCGAGCAGAAGTGCTTGCTCATCTCACCGCGCGACGTCTCGTCATCAAACGTGGCGCGGGTGAGTAATGAGTGGGGAGGGGGAAGGAATGCGAGGATGGGGGCCAGATCTGCGGAGTGAAATGCAGCCCGTCGGCCGTGGAAATGGCAGAACACGCGGGACGTCTCCGGCGGCTTCTAAGGCACGCCGCTTCCAGAGGAATGAGCCATGCTGGGACCTGTCAGCCGCTCTTTCCCTGAGATGTCCCGATTCCAGACAGAGAGGAGACCCCTTTCGGGAACGTAGGGGCTTGACCAGGTGCCCTAACTTAAGCATTGAGTGTCCTTACTGGGGCTGGCACTCTGGTGTGTGACCTCATCATAGGCCCAAGTTAGTAGATCCTCCCGTGGAAGGTACGCCGAAGAAAGAGCACTAAGCTAATTTGAGTAGCTTTTTGTCACCGTGATCACCACGGGCCTTGTGGGAGATTCCTGTCAGCCTCTGTCCTGTTTGGGTGGATCTTTACTGGGAGGGTGCTGTTGTGGGACATTGAAACAAAAGCATTTCATATATATGAAACTGATGCACGGGAATTTGCCAGAATTTGCACTCGCAGGACAAGTTTTGATTGTGCGCTTTTTGGCTTCGTTATTTCAAAGTACAAAACCCAGTGGGTGCAGACAAAGTTGTCCTTTTGGAATCGGATAGATGTAACATTGTGGAAACGATGTTTTTGATTATCTGTATCTTAATGGACAGTTACTGAGCATTGCTGGTTTCGAATCACTGGCAGTTCCAGTTCGGTGCAGAATCTATTCATTGTTAAGCTAAACAAGGTTGTGAGTGGGGGGGAGGTGGGGGGGGGTGCCAAGATCCAGGGGTAATTAAACATCCCCGTTTGTCTGTACTTCCGAATGCCCCAGGCAAGGGGCATTTTTGTAGCAGTCCCTATGGATTCATGCAGGATTAAGTAACAATTGTTCATGAACCATTCTAACCCTACAGCTAGCATAATGTAAAGTCAAACTCTATTATGTAACACTGTATTATTTTAGCAGTATGCTTTGGTTATTTTTATTCAGTAAACCTATATCCACCTTAAGTGTATTCTCATTTGTAAAAATTACAAGGTAAAATTCAAAAAGTGAAGAAAATGTCGATAATAATGTCAATAATTTATACAAAATGAGGAATTTTACGCTCTGGTTTATGTTCACCAGAATGTAGTGCAAGAGAAACAATGACAACTGAAGGAGAGTCTCCAGGTAGAGACTTTATTCGAATATATGGCAAATCAAGTGCTAAATAATAGGTTATAAATATGGGTGTATAGTGGCTGGTGTACAGCCTTCCGACACTGCGGTGCTCCGACTTCCAGAGGGTCTTCTTTCGTTCATTAAAATTAGATTCTGCTGGGGGAAGGAACCTCTACCGGAACAGCAGGCATGTTAAGCACGCCATACTCCTGCAAATGTATTTTTATGTACAGAGGATCATTTGGCAGTGTTGCAGCGCACAGAACCTCTAGGTTATTTACTGCGATTGCACATGGCGGACATTCTTATGCGAAAAATCATTCTGTTTTGTACTAAAAATACTATACGTGCGCACGGTAGAGTGGACATTTAGCCCACGCTCTCATGCACAATTTTTTCTTAATAAGATACTTCCCCCTGAAGGTTACCGTCACTGTCGCTACTGTGCGTTATCGCTATGCCAGCTAGACAGCATCTCCTTTAAACCTAGCATTTGCACTTCACATTTCCCTGTACGCGCTCACCCCTGCGCTTTAGGCCGTCCCTCGGTGCCGGGCGAAAGGGCCTGGCACCTGACACGAAGCACACGACTTACGGATAGATAGCGCTGTCTTCTGCCTCAAGCTTCCCGGAGTTACTCAGTTCCTGGGTTGCTTGGATGGCGTTTCGCAGATGACAGCGGCGTGAGGGCATGTCATTTTTTTTCCACACAGGCCACCTCGGAAACCCACTAGTTGTGAGTTTAAGCCGTGCGCCCCCACCCACCGGTAGAATGGCGGGCGGGGGTGTGCAAATTAGCCATGTGCGTGAGATGGTCTGGGCAGAGCCGACGCGTTGAGGCGGCCGTCGTGCAGGATGAGCAGTCTCTCGATGTTCTGCAAGTGTAATATCCAGCATTGCTTCTTCATCAACTCATTTTTGCTGGGCCTTGGTTTGTAAACCGTAGGTTTACCGTGGTGTGTCGTCCTTATGAGGAAATGAGACCAGTTTGTGCTGGGAGAAAGGTGGAAGTAGCTCTTCCGTAGCTCTCTGCGGGGCTCGGTATTTTCATGGTGACAGAGGGACCTTTCGGCCGCGAGGCGTCGCGTTTCGGGCCGATTTGGGCTGGAGCTGCTGGAGCCTCACGACCTTCGGGGTGAGTGGGGAGTGCAGGGGCGACTCGGCAGGTTAGCTGCGTCTGGACGGCGTCCGGTCCCTGCCGTCTCCACCGGAGCTGCCGCACAGCGGGTCACCTGGTTTGCGGGCCAGAACATCAAGAGGTCAAAAATCACCCAAATGGTGTTCTGCCCCTGTGACTATACCATTTTGTCCCACCTCCGCTCTGCACACCACAGAAGCCATCTGGGTGACCTCCACAGTGATCCCATAGACTCTGTGGATTCACTGACCTTCCCCTGAGCCTACAGAAAGCAGTGTCCATTTTTGGTGATAATTACAAAGCGGAGGGGCCGGATTGCTGTGTCCGCGTCCTTAACTTTCGCTGGCCTTAAATGACCGATTACGCCCGTGCCCTTGGTGCTAATGTTTTAATTATCTGTCATCTTTTCCGGCTGCTTGACGGCAGCTTCGGTCTCTGACACGAACGCAAATTGCGAGGAGGCTCTGAGGATATCCCCTTTGTGCACGGGCGAACGCGCAGATTATCCGGCACTGTGCAGGAGTCAGATTCTCCCTGTTTATATGGTCATTTATCGTGCTCTCTGTTTTGTCTAAAAAGGCAGAATCTAATCTAGCAGAATCCCCACTGAGTGCTGCTTCTTGCCAACAGACTGGTATACCAGGGAAAGGTGCTCCCTGTTTTACGAGCTAATGACAGGTTTGCTAATAGACATGCGGTTGTGGTTTTAATCCCTTACAGTGACTTATGAGCCAATCAGGTTTTCTTTCTTATATAACAGCTACCATTAAAAATTGATGGATTTCTGTTTTTTTTTGCCGGAAGGCAATACAATGTAAACAGCGTAATGAAAGGAAGTTGTATGTTTGTTTTGGGCTTTATCTCGGCAACGACAAACATTCGACTGCTGTAATTACCGCGCAGTTGCGGCGCAAAAGAAATACAAACTTTCAGTCTGAACAATCAGAACTGTTATTATGGGGTGGCAGAGTTTGCGTGTGGGTTCATGCATCGCTTAGCTGCTGACACATTGCGAAGACACTCGTACGCCTCGACTTTCCTTTTGCGACCCGGATATTTACTTTGTTTGGGCTGCCAAAAGATCATGTGACGTGGATGATGAACACCAGGGGCAGACTCTCATAGAGTGCTCCTCGACTGTGTTCAGCCAATGAATGAGCTGTATACTACCATGTCAGTCAGTGAGCCGGCCAATGAGGCGGAGGAGGCTTGGCTGGTATTAGCCAACCATGAGCTTTTGCAGAGCATCTGATCTAATCAGAGCTACATCCTTCCAGGTCAGGGAGTGATGAATCAGGAGGAGTGCAGCCATTCCTAGAGATGGTACATAACTTCAGCCAGCCTCCTATCTTTGATGTGTAAGTTCAGATTTACTTGCTTATTACCCGTTCCAACACTCCTATATAAGACCCTCCATGGCCCAGTTGGCTCTGTGTGGATTTTCTGAAATCGTGCTCTGGAAGGATTTTGATTTTTCCTTCCCATAAACCGACTCCTACTCCCACCCACATCACGCACACGTGCACACACACACGCCAGCATACACGCACACACACACACACACACACACACTTGTGTTCATATCTTTGTGGAGACCGTACCTTCATTTTTATGGACTAAACTCTAATCCCAATGACAACCTTAACCCCTACCCAACCCTAACCTTAACCAAAAGGAACCAAACAAAAAACCAAGACTTCTGTCATCTTTAGTTTTTTGATTGCAGTCACAGATTTTTATATAAAATTGAGTTTGCCCTTGTTGGGACTGTTTTTTGTTCCCAACATCAAATAACTGGTTTTTATCACATTGTGGGGACATTTGTACCCCAGAATGTAATATATTCATGACCACACATGCACACATAGTAGGATTCCAGGCGATTATGTAACAGAGGAAATTGTAATCCTGCTAAAACATTATGAGGTTAAGATGGAATAGTAGGAAGAGGTCAGAATGGAGGGCTGTCCCATAGGATTTCAGCAGCTAATTCTCTGTTTGCATTCAAGATGTGTATCTTAGTGCTCTGGTGGTTGCAGAGCATCAGTGGTGGTGGGCATGTAGCTTCTGGAATGGGTTACTTAAAAGAGCAGAAAGGAATTCCGCCACTATGGGTTTCCTTTCACATTTGTGTGCTTACTTTTTGCAGATGTTTATTCCCTTTGTTCTCACAGTCCATGTATTCATATCTTTGTGGGGACCCTCCATTCATTTCTATGGGGGAAAAACCCTAATCCCCCAACTATGACAACCCTAACCCTAACCCAGCCCTAAACCTAACCATTAGCAACCAAACAAAATGCAAGTCTTTCGGCACTTTCAGTTTTTTTGATTGCATTTGCAGATTTTTTAAGATTGAAAAAATGTCCCCACAAAGTAAAAAGTTACAGGATTTTAACACATTCTGGGGAAACCTGGTCCCCACAATGTATTAATTACAGAAGCTCCAAAGTCAGCAGAGTGACTGGAATTTGGCCCAGTAACCACAATGATGGGACCTTCACGCAGACAGCGGGGTGTCCACCAGAAACGTGAGCAGGAGTTGGGATTACAGATCTGAGCTGATGTGAAGTCGCTCTCGCTTTTGAAACCTGTCCAGCGGGTCAGCATGTTGGTCCTGTCGCAACCCGCCGTAGTTCTGGCTGCGGTGCTGCTCCGAACCGCCCATTATGCTGCAATTCCGACGTTGTCACCGAAAAATCCCGAGGCGCGTGAAATGGGACCTGTCCCTCCAGATGAATATTTTCTCCCAGTAGGACCGTGAAACATCCTGTGGTCCTCCCCAAGTCATGACTCCTTTTCCCCACATTGCCAAAAGCACCACGTCACTGAGCAGAAGTAGCCCCCGTTTGGAATGCCTCACGTGACGCTGTTATGACCTCAGTCATCTACACGCACGTGTCAGTTACGCCTCAGTCTGCAGCTCGGAAGAATAAATCAGCATTCAGCATTAAAAACTTTGCAGCTATCAAAGTATTTAGCACTCAAAATGCATTTAATTATTTCAAAATGCAGAGAGTTTCACCACCTCCTACCTTATATTAAAATGTTATTTAAAGCTCCGGTTCACTTGATGTTTTGTATATAAATCCCCTGAAGTAAATAAATAAGCAGGTCCTGTGACATTTGGCAACCTGTTCAGAGAATTAACGACTGGTTCAGCAGTTCAAGTGAAGCGCTCATAGATGAATCCGTAGAAAAGTGACCACTTATCAGCCGGTCCCTCCTCCGCTGCGGGGGGAAAAAAAAAATAGGCTTGCTTGGGACATGGGACGATTCCTGCTTGTGTAATTGCTCTGGACAATAATTAACCGCATTCATGGGAATGGAACGGTCCTTTAGCAGAAGGGGCCGTCAAGTTATCTGAATTGACTTTGCTCTGATCAGAATGCCGTCTGGCATCGCGCTTCCTGCGCGCAGTTTACTGTTTTTTAGAGCAAGAAAAATAGGCTTATGTAATGGTCACGTGACTCCGCCAGAAATAGTGGCTGAGCTGCAGCTGCCGTTGCTCCTTCTGCCGTTGTTTGGCTCCTGGAAGCTCCCAGACAGATCCGTCGCGCATTCAAGAACTTCTCTTGTTTCCAGCCACGTTCCCTTTCAGTCAAAATAAGGGGAATTAGCAAGCGGTGGGGTTTGGACTGGGTGGGGTGTATGGGGAGGGAGGGGGGGGCTGTCGGTGTGCAGATACACGTGACTGTGTAAAATGTTTTACCTCTGTAGGCGCGGGGCACGGGAGAGCGGAGGGCACTGTGCGTCTGATGTGGGCTCGGGCCCAAGGAATGCGTGGGCGTGCCGCTCACGGGCCTCGTGGAGTTACTGGAGCAGAACGGGGCCTGAAATGAGAGATCATTCCGTTAGCTTCCGGCTAGCTGGGGGGGG